AGATGTCAGGGGACACTTTATTTTCCCTGCTGATGGCTCATACTGCGGCCATTTACACTTCTTGCTTGTTTCTGGGGCTTTTTGCGTTTAGTCTGGTCAGCAGATAAAACAGTTTGATTGAGGCCTGGTGAGCTTGGCACGTCATGTATTAGCTGTTAAATTATTGTCTGTATGTTTAGACAACACAGTCCTAAGATTTGTTGACTATAAAAGAGGCTGCAAGTCCAACATTCCTCATTTAATATGGTTTAAATACAGATTTTATGTGAGCTCTTGAACCTTAAAGTCCACTTAAACCTCACTGTGATTGTTAATTTCAAACGTAATGTTGTAGAAACAAAACTATTACTAATTGTCCTCATACTTTCCCACTGCAGTGTGTGATGGCTTCCCTCAGGTTAAAGAGGCCTCGAATGCTCCTTGAAAGGGTGAGTGTGGTCCAGCAAAGAGCTGCCAAATAGACAGAGAGAGGTCACAACCCCTCTCCATTTTGACGTCACTGCACTGACTCTCACAAACTCCATTTCTATGGAACCACCAGGGGACTGGCAGCATCAGGTTGCCAGGTTCAAATCAATTAGGCACCAACGTGTAATAAACTGACGTCACTGCTACCTTCCGCCTTTCTTGCTGCTCAGATACGGCATAATAAGGTGGAAGCTGTGTGAGGTGAAAGCCAGAATAGGCAGTCTAGGTATTTGGCAGAAACTACACGGAATTAAATGTATTTCCTTTTATGACGTTGCATATGCATTACTAGACAAATAGACCCATGATGAAAACCTATTAAAGTGTTTTTCAGTACACAACTTAAATGAGGTATTATTGTACAGCGATAATTGCACATTTATTTGAAGATTCAGTGTCATTTCATCTGATGTGATTATGTCAGTGGAAGCACATGTCACTGAGCCTGTTTTTTATAAAGGCCATTACAGATATGCCTCATTTTCGTAGAAGACTGGAGTTCTTTGATGGTGAGACCTTGGCTGCGAATGAATGAGACGCATTTGGAGAGAACTGGCACGGTTCCCACAGGAATAAACTAAAAGATTTGATGTGTGTGTGCGTAAAAAGAGAGGAAAAAAGCGGACAGAATGAGAGAAAGCGAGAGGAAGTATTGGTCGCAGTCTGAATGAGTTTCCACAGAGTTAAAGCCTGTTGAAAGCACATTTTCCACCTCGGCCAGACAAAGAGTGCAGCAGTTACTAGAACACAGATCTCTGTTGTCCTCCAGTCCTTTCTGCCTTAATGGCACTTTAGCCGCTGAGGGCCAACAGCTTCAGTAGAAACACCTAACAGTTATAAAACATCAGCTGACATTTTGAATGTGGTGCCTTTTGATGCTGGGGAAACAAACAGAAAAGACCAGGGGAAGTGATGTTGAAGTTGCATTGTACTTGCATTTATTTTTCCAATAGATATTCACATTCATAGCAGTTTCACTACAGCAAAGAAACTATCTCGTCTCTACAGTCATGAAAGAAAGAAATCACAAAGTGAAAATCAAGGAAAACAAGGTCAAATATATCAGCGAGAGAAAAAAAACACATTTGTTCATAAAATTAGGTCATATGTTGCATTGTAATGGGCCTTCAATAGTTTTTCTGTGGAAAACAAACCCAGCTCTTTCCACAGTGACACGCAAGAATAACATTTGGGGATACTTTTCTGCAAATAAAAGGATAATTCTTACAAAATATATTCATACATAAAGGTTTGTAACACTTCAAGAGCAATTAATACCTTCTAAAGAATAACGATGATTCTCTCATGCGCCCATACGTCACCTTCTTGTGCTTCAACCATCGTCATCAAAACAGTCACTGCTGTCTCTCTTAAAGACAGGGATGCAAAGAGTTAAATGAAAGAGGAATATATATTTAAAAGATACAGTACATGACAAACTTTTTTGTTTTAAACACTAGCTTTTTAAGAGAGATTGACTGGCCTTACTCTGTATACAGAAAGTTGCAGCACACTGTAAGTTAGTATTAAAAAGATGGCATTCCTTTTATATACTTGTCATAGGCTTATACGGATGTCGGAGGACTGTCAGTCAAAACACCTGGGTGTGTAGTGTGCACATTTCCCTTACTGTAGATGAGTCATGAGGATTCCTACCCTACTTGTAATGAATGAGTAAAGGAATACCAACTTTACAGCTCTATGTTTTGAATGTCACCTGCTGCGTGGTAATGAGCACAGCAAAGGCTTCAAATAAAACATCACAGGAAACAACAGCAAAAAGAAGAAAAAAAAAAGAACTACAGAAAAAAAAAAAGTGCAAACGTATTCGGAGGGCCGAGTGAAACCACAGGACCTTTCTACAACAGCTACTGGTTCCAGCTCATTACTCACAGTGCAGGACGAACCATACTGGCCTCCCACAGCTCTCCCAGGTCCCTTTTGTCTGCGTGCACAAAGCTCAGAACAACAGGGCTGTTGACAGGCAGAGGTAAAGTGATGCGCCTTCTGGCCTGCCATCTGTGGGGGGGACAGGATGGCAGCCAACGGGCCGGATGGAAAGGGAGTCTTCCCCTGTGTGTCATATTTCACCTCCTCGCATAATTTACAGCTACAGTATCGCTCAACAATAACCTCCTTCCTAAGTGGAAGGCCAAATGCACTCCTGCACCGATGAGGGAGACCTCTGCCTCCTCGAGAACAAAAGGTTGTTTGATACATGAGAGGGCTCTGATGCTAACATGTTCCACTCAATGTAACGAGTTCGGTTTTCTATTAAGCTTTCTGTGCCCGAGTCAAATAAAAATAGAAATGACGGAGGAGAAACGGAGTATTCAAAATTAAATATGGTATTTAACTTCGTCTTTTACCACTCATCTATCACTCATAGAAAAAGCAACTTCACTTTCCAAAGTCGTGGAGATTTTCCAAAACTGTGGGCTGGCCGACAAAAATAATCTCAGCAATACTTCAAAGTAAAGCCTGTCTTCTGGCATGCAGCCATCAGGAACACAAGTTAGGAGGCTTTATGTGGCAGAAGACAAAGAAAGTAGAGCCTACATAAATTGCCCACATAGTAAGGATGAGTAAGACAGATTGAGTCAGTCTCGTCACTCCCTCGTGGTCTTACATTAGATTGCGTACTGGATAGTCCATCATGTTAACCAGCATCTCTGCTTGTACTCCGCTAAACCCTGATTTAAGACAGCATAAAGCAGACAAATATATGTCTGCTGGCAAGCCTCTGTGGACGTCGTTCCACGCAAAGGCTCTTATTAATTGTTGACAGAACTTGTTCTGCCAGTGAGGTGGATGAGATGAAAAGAGGAAAAGTACCACAGAGTCGGGCTGTTGGTTACACAGACCGACTGATAAAACACTTCTGACTGACAAAGCAGAAATATCATGCTGACGAGCGTGCTGACAGACCGAAAGGAGATTGAGGAACTATCCGGCGAGGTGGCGAGGAATAGAAGCTCAAGCTGAGTGTCATTCCTGGTCAAACTAAGACTGCGTGCTGCTGTTGTATTTAAGTAACCTTGATGAGTGTCAACACCATGATCTGCCTGCAGATCTGCGATGGTGGCTGATGCCATGCATAAACATGTTTTGATGTGTGAGGGGGTTTTTTTGTGTACATATGTGGGTGTGTTACTGACAGCTCCAGGGGCCACTGACCCAACAGAAGGAACCCATAACACGGGTCTGTTACTTCTCCACGCTTGTTTGTTTTATACACAGGACAATATATCACATTGAGGTGCATGTAGACTGAAACACCAAACAGGCCAGTCCCTTTGCTATTTTTCTATCAATTTTGCTATTGATAGATTAATACTTTAAATTGCAAGTGTACATTTGTGACAAACTGATTTGCTGGTTAGTGGTATTAATCATAATGCCAGTGATGTATACTAGGTAACTGGTCGAAATGTTTACTATTAAAGCTGGGATAGGCTTTTTTCATCATCAAAAATCCAATAATAATGTTTTTGCACGTAACGGAATGGACTTTTCAAAAAAGAAACAACACAATAAAATGTGTCAATATCGGCAAGTGTTTGAGAGATCAAGAGAAAATGTTGCGAAGAGTTTAGTCTTCAGCTCACTGTAGCCAAATTCACATGGCTGCGGCTAATTTAAGTCTATGTTTATGTAGCTAGCTAACGTTAGCTAGAGCCTCAAATAGTGGTGTGACATCTCAACAGGCTTTACAGGCCCACAATTTTTTAAAGAAAACAGGACATTAATTCTCATAGAATTGATGCTACATGATGGCATCAGGATCAAAATCATGATCAGGATATTTGAAATAAATGACTAATACTCATTCAGGTTACTGTATGAAGTGCATGCACATGCCCACGTTCGTTTGGGCGGGAGGGGCTTAAGCAGGATTTATACTTGACGCAGGTGACGCAGACCTCTTGTGTATTTATGTAAACTGAAACCATTTCCCTCAGTGGAAATGAAGCCTTAATTTACTTTCATTTCACAGATAAGAAACAATAAATTGTGAAGACAATAAAGCCTCCACTAAATAGCATTTTAAATCTTGTGTGTGATTTATCCTGGCTTAATAGGAGTACAGGAAATCGTCACTCGATGCTAGGCTAATTAATACGATGTAAAATGCCATAGGCTTGAGCTAGCTAGCATGTTATATATGTTTGGAAAATGTGTTAAGTATAAGAAAGTTGTTTGGTCAGTGAACCTTGTGAAGACGAATTTTGTAACGTTACCTTTTCTTAAATGTTGCTGTTGTCTCTGGCTTCATATGAGTAGAAGAAAAGTCTGCTAGCCGCTAGGCTAATTTATAGAATGAAAAATGCCATAGGCTTGTGCTAAAAACATTAGCATGTTGTATTTGTGGGGAAAATGTGTCCAGATAAAGACAAGTGCTTTGTCTGTGAATGCTGTGAGTTATAGTGAAGCTGATTTTGTGCACTTGTGTTTGAAATTGTCGCTATTAAGCCATGTTTAATTTGTGTTTTGAATCAACTAAACTTTACAGCACTTCACAGAAACCCCGCTGCCAACTAGTGTTTTGGAGGTGTAACCGCAGAGTGACACAGATACACCATCGCACAAGTATAAATGCTCAAGGACGTAGGCACTACATAGAGCTGACGTACAAATATGAATCCCGCTTTAGGACATAGGGGGGAGAGCTGCAAGAGGAGGGCTGTATTTTAAAGTCCTGGCATTTTTTTCCACTTTTCCAGAAAATAGCCTACCCCAGCTTTAAGGTCAAATTAATCCTAAAAAAGAGATGGACTCCAGTTTCAATATACTGTTGCCCATCAAATACTACCTTAAAGTCATCCTTAACTGACAACACTTTTGGGAGATGCTGTAAAATACATTAAGTAGTTGCAAATCTCAAGAGGTGAAGAGTATGAAGTTTAAGAGCCTTGTGAGAATACATTAAAGATATCCAGTCGTGTGTCTACTCCACACAAACTATGATGGTTCACAGCATTTCTGGCATTGAGTTGGTTCTGACTTGTCACAGGCACACACATTCACTCAACAGCAATACATACACTCTCACACATGCACACACTCCAAACATGCATATACAGTATGTAGACAAATGAGGAAAGGGTTACAGTATACTTCTTCAGTATTTTGACCGTTCATCCTTGCATGAATGGTTTGCAGCGTAACAAATGAAAGGTGAGAGAGGGAAATGTGTGACAGATGAAAGACAAAAAATATCAGCAGACCTGTCGGGGATTAGCCGCGGTGGATTTTGCGGGATTAAAGCTGATGAAATGTCCTGTGAGAGGGAATTATTGGGAATAATGGGATAACTGTTCCCTCACATGACAAGTCAGTTCCCCCATCTCCCTTTTTTCCTCACCCACACTGCCCATGGGCAGTGTGTATGTTTATGTGCGTGTTTGTGTGCGTGTCGTTATGAGTGAATGCCTTCTGAGGCCCAGATACACACAGGGAGAGGTGATAAACAAAAAGATTCCAGCCAGTAACACAGCTCTTTCTTTCTCATTCTTCATAACATGGTCCCTGGCCAATGACAGCATGGGGCGGCTGATCTAGAACCCTGTGGACTTTTCCTAATAACTAAACTGGCAGGGGTCGTAGGTGTCAGGTGTGTGTGCGTGTCAACATTTACACCTCATTTCTGGAAAAAAACTGTCCAGGCAAAACACTGTAAAAAGCCCGAGAGACTTAACACCATCAGGGTAAGCAGGTGCAGTGTGCAGCATGTTAGTATGTATACAGCAGTCTGCGAGGACTATGGTGTGTTCTGAGTTCTCTTTGTGACAGCAGGACAGTGTCAATAACTGGATCAAGCTTCTAAAAACAATCTCCAAATCTCAGTCACTACAGCTACAATACACTGCGGTTGTTGCAGTCACGCAACTTTCCCTGCTTGCCTTTCCGCCTCATTGCCTTATTCCTCATCTCCGTCATTCTTTTCCTGCACATCCAGCTATTCAAGAACAACCTAATTCATTCACCCGCAAAGACCAGGTGAGGATTTGTTAAAGATGTAAATCGCGGAGTGAATAAAAGCAGTGTGGTTATTATAAATGAAATGGAAGGGACTGCAGATAATAAAGCAAGTGTGGATTATGCTCCCAACTTTAAGAATAGCACCCTTAATTCAGGGGGAGCAACAGAGGGCGAAAAAAGCCAAACATGGGTGAGTCTGTAAGAAAAAAAATCCCTTTTTAACAAGGTCTCAGGCAACAAAACAAAAAAGACAAAAATAAGATGTCATGTTGTATTATTGGACCACTTAAAGAAGACGTGTGTGGTGGGAGTCAGTGTGTTGACTGTGCGTGATGGAACTGTGTGGAAAGCGAGGTAAGAGTGTTAATCAAACACACATAAAATGCACACACACACACACACACACACACACACACACACAATCGCTCACACACACACAATCGCTCTCCCACACGCACTTCTTGAAGGTCCCCAGTGACGTGCTCCCCTTAAATTAAAACATAATAGTTAAAAGTAAAGTAATACTCTCTATATATAGCAGGTTAATATCACTACACTTGTCTCCATGGTAACTAGGTGGAGAGACGGCCATTCTAGGATCGGAGGAGGCAGGTAGGACTGTTGTCGGGAGAGGCTGAAGATAATTCTAACTTATCTTCATGGTAAGAAGACAGGTGTGAGACTATCGTACTAGTGGGGTAGTAGAGTGATAGCCACGTGAAGACTGGAGTGAGCCAGTCGTCATGGTAACAATGGTGTGGGAGCAACACACTGAAATGAGGGTTGATGGTTGGGGATCTGGCAGTGAGATGTGTCCATGATCACTCAGGGCCGGAGGTGGGGCAGCTGCCGCCTTCCCAGCCTCACGGCCATTCACTGCGGACACCGCAGCACCTCACAATCTCTTCCTGGCCACCTCGGCGTCCTGGCACTCGACGGCCGACAGCGCTATCAGCATCTGGGCGGCGTAGTAGGTGGCCATGATGATGGCGCGCGAATGGGGCACGGGGAAGCAGAACTTGTTGACGGCAATGGTGAGGTCAGAGACCATGAAGAGCACGGCGCCCAGGCAGGCGGACAGCTTGGTCCACGTCCAGAGGTCGTTGGCCAGCTGCAGGCCCGCGATGGCCCTCCAGCCCATGAAGCCGATCAAAGCGATGTAGACGGCCACCAGGTAGGTGAAGGGGCCGGACAGGTAGGGGTACAACAGCATGTAGCTCAGAGAGGACACGGCAGTGATCACCAGGCCGGCGGACATGTTAATGGGCTTCATCCCAAAGGCAGATGAGTAGAGGATGTGGGTGATGGCAAACATCAGAAGGCCTGCAGGAAAATATGTATGATTTAAATACAATCCTACAGTGCATTAGGGCTGGCTTATGTGGAGAAAATCAAATACTGTGATAGTTTTGACCAGATACCTCTGTATCGATGTTGTATTTTCTATGTTTTCGTGCTTTCACATAATATTCACCAAATGATTTTTGATTAATAATCAACAGTAATGTGAATATAATGACTAATTGGGCAAAGGCAAATAATAGAATAGAACAGCTAGAAAAGTACATAATTTTACTGTAATGCAGCCTATAAACTCAGAAAAAGACAACACGACTGACAATATTTAGTCATGATAACTTTGTGACTCACCAGAGCCCCTTCTGATAATATGGAGCACTGCATCATTGCAACATGTCAAAACAAGTCTACTGGGCAATGAGACAACTTGTACACAAGCCAAATATTTCATCGGATTATATACCACTTAATGTTAAGGTTAGCCAAAAAGTAGTAGGAGGAAAAAGTGCGTGCAGTGAGTCAAAGTTGAACAACAAGTTATGTCCGTAAACAATTATGGGTGTTTACAACTGATTTCCTGTTCATCCTCACTTTGTCCTTCACGACTATTTTTCTAACCTGGGGCTTTGTTTCAAACCTGTATGAATACCTGACCGCTCATATGTTTTGCAACTCAGTGTGTGAAGTTTCTCCGCACCGTGGACGAAGTAGCCCTGCTCCTGCCAGATGAGAAAGGCGTCACCCAGAGCAGAAAAGATGAGGCCAGCCAAGATCTTGCGGGCACTGGAGTGAGCACCGAGGAAGCTGAACCCATGTGCCAGTAAGAACACCCAGAGGCAGAAGATGGGCAGACATTTGATCAGTGCGCTGAACCAGGATGGGCTTGAGGTGGGCAGCCACAGGACAAAGTATACACAGGTTGCCTTGAAGAATGGCACCAGCTTGGGGCCTTCACTCTTGACCTGAAAGAGATTAAATATTTACATTATTAATTTAGACCTAGCTGTTTGCACTTCACATGAGGTGATTCTACTCAGTGGCACTACTGTCAGTCTGCCTTAAATTAGATGTATCAAAAAGGGCTTTTATCTCAAGGCAGAGAGCTCGAATTAATCACACAAAGCAAAAACCTGTTTGAGGTACGCTATCTCGCATCTTTGATTAAAAGACAGAACATAAGCAGCAAACTGTCTGCACTTCTCCTTATTTGGGAGAGTGGTTTGGTTTGGACTGAAACAGGCTTTTGTTGTGTGGTCACTCGTTTACATCACTGTGTCAGACATGCACGTGTTTTGTCGCTGAAGCGAAACTGCAGAAACAGCATGCAGAAGGGGAAATACAAAAAGCTCCATGCAACTCCTTTGACTCCCTGTAACCTTTTCTTATCTTCTTTTTTCACTCTTTCCCCAGTTTGCTTTTGTTTCTCTTCTCCACCTCTGCTTCACCTTCTTCTCTGTGCCTCGTGTTCTTGTGAACTGTGTAGCACATTCAAGTCTCAATTTACTCTTTCCAACTGAGTTACCAGCCATATTTCTTTCTGTCCAAACAGATGACACCCAACAAGGTCACAAAAATACAAAAACAGGGCTGGAAAGAGGTTTCACAACACCTATGGTTCTGAGAATCGCCCTCTGGAGCTGAGGCAGAAGGCCCTGGGGGAGGCAAAGAGGGAGAAGAAAAGAGAGCTTGAGTTGGGAGGGAGAGGATTTGAGTGAGGGTTCACTAGAGCTGAGATCACTGGAGGAGAGATGAGGAGGACACAAGTAAAACAGGGACGGGATGATAACAATGGGGTCATAGTGCAACAGGGAAATAGTTGAAAAGACTGGGAAACTATTTGATCAGTAGCGGCTCCTGCCAAATTTCTCAGGGGGGGGCAATTGTTGTGATGATGGCTGAGGTGACCCGTTCAATGGGTAAATTTGAATTAATTTGGCTCTGCAATGACTGAACAATCCACCGTGGTCATCAACAAACTAATTTTCATCAGTTTGCCCACACAAATACCTTTGAATGTAAACAGGGACCTGTTTTACCATTAATCAAATAAAATTGAGTAAGGTATTCACTGAGTCATTGTCAGTCTTAATCAGAAAACATTTCATTATAGCTAAGTGGAAATTAATTTTGTGTTCTCATTAAAGAAATAAATGCAGGCATACCCTACACTTAATACAATGCACATGACATAGTATCACTGCTCTTTGACCTGACCTGAACGTTTTTTGTTGTTGTTTTTCAGTTTCAGTTATATATTCGGGGGACATTTTGGGCATTGGGGGGACACATGCCCCCCTCAATGTATATGGTGACTACGGCCCTGTCAGGCATGCATAATTAGGCCTCAGTTGTCTGGGTGCGCAAAGGTCAAGTGGCTGGTCTTGTCATACAAAGTTTGATGGCGTGTCAACTGGACAATATGGAGATATTTGCATCTTGAAAGCCGGACTACAAATGTGGATAGACAGGGAGAAACACACACAAGCCTAAGACGTGGTAAGATACGATATTCCTCACTATATGAAGTGACTGATAACAAGATCTGTATAATGGATTGTAAAGAAATTCGTCAGGTTTTCATTTTGTAGACGATTGATCTGTATGTATAGCGTGATGGGATGACAGCACAATGATGTGTGTGGTATCACATGAAAGCTCTGCTCCTGCGCTTTCATGTGATATGCGTGGCATTTCTGTGCAACCCTGCATTCGCGCGTAATCCATCCAAGAGTAATGTGTGTGCAAAGCTGTATGAAAGCTCTGTTATACATCATTTTAGTGTAACTTTAGCTTTTTTTTTTTCGCTGTGAAAACATTGGACTACCGACAAGTGTCCGACAAAGCTGCAGTTTTGCTGTTTCATGTGATATGAGTGGCTTCTCACTAACAGTCGCGGAGAAAATCCATAGAGAGGAACGAACAGGTGTGAATTTGGACGCACTATGTGTTGTTCCTTTTCAACCTATATGGTTAAAAAACCTCTTGGATCAGCTGGAAATGTTAGCCATGTTGATCTTGAATGTGACCGCTGCACAGTGGCGCTGCCTCATGTGATGTAGGAATAATCGGAAAAATGAGTTTCCGACCGTAAAGCAATATTTCGGTGGAAACAGTTGACAACGTGTTTTTTAAACATTTTGAGTGATAAAATACAACACATCTTCTTTGTAATGTCCATGATGTCTCCACATTACCACCTAAATGCTCATGAACACACAATGAAGTAAGAACGACTTCCCGACATGGGAAATCAGACAATCCAAGGAGCACATGAATGATACTTGGTTTACGTATAACGAAAACACATTGGGGCAAGCCCTCCCGGAACCCATAGAGATTGCATTGGAGTGCCTGCATTTAGAAAAAAAAGCATTTTACATGGAAGTCTATGAGAGTGAGTCTGGGCCATTTCCAGCCAGGCTGATATCGCCCCAAAGGGCCGGAACGTGACTTCACACTGCATCTGATTGGATATTCAGAGGCAGGACGAGCTGTTTCAAGTGAAAATTATCAGAATAATTAATATATTGTGTGTATATATGACAATAATGATGATGATAATCATACATTTATTATCATCTTTCTTTTCTTTTGTGGCTCGAGGAGGGGCGGTGCCCTATCACCCTCTATTGGCCAGCCGCCCCTGTATTTGATGTCCTAAATGACTATTTTCCAGCAGCCATTTTGCATCTCTCTCCACAACCATTCTCTGGCAAAGTAAAACGATGCAAATGAAAGCGATGCTCAGACTGCAATATTCAAGAAAGAATAAGTAAGTAGGGCAGATGAGGGGAAGCAGGAGGAAGCGTGGGGAAGGGACGTTTCAGGGGAGGGGGGACAGCGGGATGGAGTTACAAGCATTCAGATGACAGCTGGATTTAGGATTGGACACGTGGGTAGGGGGAGAGGCGAGAAGAAGAGGAGGTGGAAGATGATTAGGGGTCACTCTAGTTCATATGGTTTACGCTTCTGGGGAAAAGGCGGGAGGGGCAGCAGCTCCCAATTTCACTACTCAATAACAGTGGGTCAAATTACTGTACAGGATCAGACAACACTTCTGACCTCTGGAGTAGCTGATATGACTGAGGCAGCAGGAAGACAATTGGATAGCCCCCATGGTCACAAGCATGTTGGGACAAAAAACACAAGCTTGGGTGTTATCTGTGATTTAAGGAAGTATTTCACTGCTGGAAGGATGGTCTTTTCACGAAAGTGGGCTGTCTATGCAGTAGGACACAAATACTTCTAAAACTGGTTCTGTATGACCAGAGGAAACAGCGGGAAAACAGCTGTGGCATTTGCTTTTACTCAAGAGGTAGAAAACCTACAACTACCAGATTGCAGTGGGTGACATAATGCTATGTTGGCTGTTTTTCCACAGGAGTAAAAATGGCGGCCAGCTAGTACAAACAATCTCGCATCACAGTTAAACGGTAAGCTAAAACATGTTACTGAAAACATTTGAGGCCTGAAATAGACAACACAGTAACAAGAATCTTGGTTCATGTTTGATCAGCACTGCTTTGTTTCACAGTTTAATTAAATCTGTTCTGAGTCTGGGAGGGGGGGGGGCTACTCTTTCTCGATTTGCTTCTATGTTCTTTGTGTCAGTGGCGGCGGGAATACAAAAATGCGGAAGTGCACTCTGTAGTTGGAGCAGCAGCCCCAGAGCCAGCAAATATCCACTGGAAGATGCATTTCATGCCATCCAGCGTTGAGCAGGGAGATGAACAGGGACATCAGGGCACTGTGAAGATCGAGGGATGTCTACCATTGTTCATTTGCACATACCCAGAGTATCCCCTTTAAACTCTATCACACATCACAGAGTGACCATAACTGCATTACTTCATCTACAAAATATTGGCAAAGTAATTCATGTGTTGCTTTTTGGAAGGCCAGTTTAATGTGGTGCACTTTTCGCATTTTGTCTAAAAAGATCTAGAGTACTGAGAAGCAACAGTTCACTCAGAGTCCTCCTTACAAAACTAAAAAGTGAGGACAACTCGACTGGCTCTCTGTATCATTAAGACCTGATTGCAGAGCATGTGAAACTCTGAAAATGACCAAGGACTGGCCAAGAATGTAGACACCCTGTTGTTTTATGTGTCCTCACATTCACTCAGATCTCTTACTGTGGCTTTGGCACACATTCAGGACAAAAATTGGACATTTAATCTTCAACTCTGCTCCCAATCCATGGCATTTCATGACCATTTCCAAATACATGCGGAGTTTTAGTGCATTATTTAAAATGAAAGCTTACACTGTTTTCAACTAGTGTTTTAAGTCCCTGTTTCCCTGCAGAATGATATTTTGCCATCTGCGTACAAATACAGCACATTTGAGCTATCATCAGTCTCCTCCAGATGAGAGGAATCTTTCCACTGAGGTAAAACTGAAGCAAGGTGTATAATGTGAACTAATGCACTCATCTTCTCTCCATTATTTACTTTCAATTACCTTCATAAAACAAATGGGTACATAAATAAAGATTAAAGCTAGTCTTATTACAAAAATGTGTGTGGGTGTATGTGTGTGAGCGTGCGTGAGTGTATGGTGAGTCTATCTATCCCATTAAGGCCAAATGGTTGCCAAGCAGATGAGATAAAACTGGCAGGACTCCCAGACAAGCCAATATTACAACTCTGTTTATCAGGCCACTGGTGGCTACTTAAACTCAGGACACAAGAAAACAGTACGTCAGAAGAAAAAATTCTGTTGTGCTGTTGGGATCATTACACACATAGGGCCTATTTATCATTTAATAAAGTGATATTTAGGCTCAATGATCCATAATCACAAACAGTTTGTTATTTGTGTCAGAAAATCCTGAAAGGAAATGTAGCTCAGTGGAGTCTAGAGAGGGATTTGGAGGGTGAACACAGATTCCAGGGGAGGAAGGTGGGAGGAAGTCAGAGATTCCCACAACCTTTGGTCCTGTTCATGCTGTGTTTGAGCC